AAAAAAAAAGGGAAAATGTTCAATCAATCTGGTCTGTATCAATATAGGTTTATTGTACAGGTTTGTGGAAGCATAAATAAATGAGAGAATTTTTTTTTTTTTAAAAGCTCAAGCATCATCATACCTGGATTGTATAATACTGTATATCAGTGTGCATGTTGTTGTTATGTCGTTAAAGAAAGGGACCTCGGTTCCTCTTTCTTGTTGGTTTACGCGTAATTATGTATGTATTACTGTCACATATTTGACTTTCCTATTTGTACTGTAATAGGCATTTTTATAGTTTCTACCAGCTATTAATCAAACCAGAGAGCAGGAGAGGGCATTTTCATAAATATGCAAATACAAGGTCACCACGATCATCCTGAGCTATGTCTTGCATCATCTCTAAAGAAGTCTGTTGGTCTCACTGTTGATGGTTTTACGCACTGAAATCAATGCGTTCCCTATTTTAATTACTTGAGAGTTAAACTGAATGCCCACATAGGCCCATCATCTACAAACGTCTCATCTAATGCTTTTCATCCCTATTTGTCAGATTCTCATTGAAATTCCCAGCACATTGACATTTAATCATTTCCTATGGCTGCCAGCACCAAACCAGCATTACTCACCTTTTCCCTAAATGTTACCCTTTAGTATCATTGCATGACTGTGTAAGAGAAACACTTTTAAGGTTCATATACCTTTACCTGTGGTTCTGTCACAGGATAAGGATCAGTTTATGATTTTTCATGTTTTCGAAATGCATTTCTTTTCTTTTTTTTTTCAGAAAAAAAAGTTTTTAACAGTTGTATATTGTACAGAGATCAAATTTAACAGATATGTAATACAACCTTGGCATGCTGCTTAGAAAAGGAGAAAGAAAACATCAATAGTTAAAAACTGAATGGGTATTTAAAATGCAAAGTATAATCTGATTAATCTACAAATGTATATCTATATATGTTTATGCAATAAAACCTGGTTTTGATAGAAATTGATGTGATTGTATTTACTTCTGATGCATTTCAAGGTGACTCAAATTGAAAGGGACAATGAGCAGTAAATATCTTTTCAGCAGGTGATAAATATCTCACTGTGGTCACTATTATGAAACAGAGATTAGATGTATCTATTCATATGAAAGTCATTGCTTGGATTTGGTGATTAGAAATAGAGGTTAAAACAAGTAGAGGTTGGTCAATACTCTTTGTGTCAGTGCCTCGAGGAAATGCAAACCACAGGAAGTGCTAACAATTTCTTTATACCTGTACTTTTACTATTTCTTCTATGTGAATTAGTCCTATTGGATGTAAAAGCTGTTTAGTGAGCGCAACTTTCTCAGGCAAAATCTTAACTTTTGGGGCTGAGCCTCATGGTTTTTATGTAGAAACTCAAAAAAATGTAACTTCAGAGTGCAAAGAGAGGTTTCATCTGATACAAGACAAAAGCAGTTTTGTTTTTTGCATTACAGACTGCAACCTGCACTGCATAGCATGAGATTAAGTGATGTTGTTATTTGGCCATTGCTGTAATAATTCAGGTTTTAAATATAAATACGTTTTACCAGAGAAGTGCATGAGGGGCCATGTTAGAGCTGTGACAATAAGGTTTAGGAATTTTTCTTGAAAAAAAAAAATGTTGTTGCCAGGTTCGTTTGGTAATCAAATTTTGACCACAAGCAACTTTGGTTATAAGAGGGTTCAAATCATTTTAATTGAAAAACCTGACAAAATCTCTAAAATTAGATTTTCTATTATTTGTTACTTATAGTGAAAAAATTAAAATGGTAAATGGCATGTACTTATATAGCGCCTTTATTCAAGTCGGGAGACTTGACCAAGGCGCTTTACACTACATTCACTCACCCATACTGATGGTGGCAAGCTACATTGTAGCCACAGCTGCCCTGGGGCTCACTGACAGAAGCGGGGCTGCCGTACACTGGCGCCACCGGGCCCTCTGACCACCATCAGTAGACAATGCAGGTGAAGTGTCTTGTCCAAGGACACAACAACACTGAAAGTCGAATCTGGGCTTGAACCGTCAATCCTTCGATTTCAGGGCAAACCCCTACATCCAACGCCACTGTCGCCCTGTACGCCACTGTCGCCCTTTAATACGACATAAGGGGAGTGGTGGCCTAGTGATTAGGGCATGGAGCTTGGAATCCTGAGGTTCTGAGTTTGAGCCCCACTCCCACAGACTGCCACTCTGGGTCCCTGAACAAAGACCCTTAACCCCACACTGCTCCCCGGGCACCGCACAGTGGTAGCAGAGATAAATTTCCCCAATGTAAAATCAATAAAGTCTGATTATTACAACACAGATGCAGTTCTTTTAAGCATGAGACACAGTTAATATAATCTCACATAAAGCAAAGCTTAAGCTGTCAATAATAGATCCTTGGAAAGACGGCAAACAACGCCTGTAAAACAGCTCAGCTAAAGCTGTGCTGCCAGCAAGCACACACACTGGCACAGCTGCAGTCGTGCAAAAAAAATACCAGCATAACATCTTAAACCAGGCTTTATAAGCTCTCTTTCAAGAACACTGATAGTGTCATCTTTGTTATTTTTATTTTACTCAAAGGCTTATGTCCTCATCAGCAGTGCATCATGTGAAGCATCCATTATAAACACATAAAGCAATCTACAAAGAAACTAAATGATTATATATATTGCAGAGTAAAAGCCCAAATGTTATCACAATTCAACCAAAAGCCAGAATATGGGTTTATATACAGCTTTATATATTGATAAGGTGTCAGAAATGAAGGAGCTACTTCAGTAAATATAATAATACATTCCTAGGTAAATAACTATGAAACGTAAAAAAAGAGATTAGCCTAAAGGACTTTTTGGGGTGTACTGGATTGTATACTGTAGTCGTTTTGACTTGGTAAACCTTTTCTACTCTGACCAGTTATAATCATGCAGTCAGAAATGTTAGTATTTTTTTCAAATTAAACATCTCACAGCTCTGCTGTTGCATTATTTTATTTCTCTCCCCAGAATCAAACAAATGTGCCAATATATCCCTTTAAAAACATTAGAAGCCACTGAAAACCGATTGCAAAGGAATCTACATAATCTGTCAAAATGTTATATGACTTGATTCACAACAAGCAGGTGAGATGAAATGGTTTCTGAAACCAAAGCACTGAAGCACAAGCTTGTTGATCTGCTTGTCACTTATAATCAGTGTCATTTTTAAGGCTGACCTTTAAAATAGGAGGAAAATACAGTGAGGGATTTTCAGCTGTCTCTTCAAGCAGATAAAACTGCAGACGGGTGTATCGTAAAGTCCATGCGGCTCATGAACAAACTTCAGTGGTGGTGAAAAAGATGCAGAGAAAGAACCCATTACTGTGACCTTACAATAAAAAAATCTCTAACATCATATCACATCTTCCTTATAGATGTACAGCAGCAGAGAACACCTTTCTTTCCAAACATTCTATAGCGCAGAGTCAGAATCAGAGCTAATTTTGAATGGACAGATCAAATATGTTAAATAAGCCTCCTAATTGGTTCCCTCATTCCCCCAGACACCGTTACCGGTCAGATAATGAACCCAAAAAGGCCCATTATCTGGACAAACAAGGCATTAGGCAGGTTTAATGGTGCAGTAAGACATTAGCAGTTTGCCTTACTGTCAAATCCTTTCATGATTAAGGGATTAACATAGTGATGAAAACTGCTCGACATCAAAATAAGGAAAAAAAATTCATGCCAAAGACAGTTTGCATTAAAAAAAATCTTTATTATGAGGTATTAATTGTCAGTTTGATGTATTTGATACTCAAGCACATACTTTACGTACATAATTGCATTTACAACACTGCACTCTCCGGAGAATTAGGAACCCATTTAATACTGACAAGCAACAATATAATTAAAGACAAAATACTCTTCATCTGAAGATTTTTTTTTCTCACAAGTTAATCAGTGTGGAATAATTTATATGCAGCACCAAAACTTTTAGAAAAATAGGAACACTGTGGGAGAACCGATCAGGACGAGTATGGCTTAAATGCCATAAAAACAGATAGAAAAAGTTTAATTGCGATGCAAAGACTCACATCATGTAAATGCAGATAAAGGCACATGTAGAACAATGTGAGTTTTTTTTCTTGTTTAACCAGCAACACATTATTCACTTTGTGAATATGTTCACCAAACCAGCTTCCTGAGCTGCAGAGTGTCAAGTAACAGCTGAGACCTCAAGCTTAAAGTAAGTAGAATATAAAGAAGGTTTTAATGCGTCTGGGTCACTTTTTAGATTGTAGTTTAAACCTTTTTTTTAACTGAGTGTAGCTGCTCGTACAGATTGAAAAGGGAGGAAGCAGCTGCTGAAAGAAGGGGAAGTTCAGAACTCTGTGTGAATGTGACTGTGGTCCCGGCTGCCGGCTGGGCTGTCGCTCGGTTTCATGAAGATGCCCTCCATCACCTTCCACAAGCTGTGCTGGCTGGGACTCGGCATGGCGTGGACCTCCATCTGCCCGTGGATCGGCCGCCCGTACTGCTCCCCCGTCACGGACAGCAGGGCATCTGTGCTTTTATGGCGGAAGCGGACGGATTCCTCCCGCTTCCACACTGATCCCCCACACTGAACTGTCCACTCGTCAAGGTGGTCCCCCTCTCCTTCTTCGCCAAACGCGCTGACCTCCTGTGGAAACAAGCAGCACCGTTTGGACTCCATTCACACAAAAATCAGAGGAATAAGACCTGCTGCTTATGTTAGAGCCTCTCCTTTTGACTGTATCACTAACACACATATTCTGTAAAAGCAATTTCTCTCTTCCACAAATATCACAGAAACCAAAGGCAGGAGACCAGGTCAACTCTAACTTCAAAATCTGTTTGACTTATTGTGGGGAACCTAAGGTCAGATGGCATTTAAACTATAAAGCCCAAAAATTGCTTGCTCTTCCAAATATCTGAAAGCAGTGGCTCCAGTAATTTCCAATGCCTCATGTGCATCAAGAACTGGTCATTCACACAGTTTCTAAGAACACTTGTGAAGAAATGAGTTGCTCTGAGGAGCTCCATGAATTTCAGCATGGTCTTATGATGCCACCTGTGCAACAGGTCTATTTAGGGAATATACTCACCCCTAAATACTGACCTGCCATCCGGCAGTGATATTATAACAGTAGAAGCCATTGGAAACAACAACAACTCAGCCACAAATTGGTAGGCTGCTCATGTAAAGTGACAGAGAGGGGGCTGCTGCTGATGATGGCGTACGCAAAGTGTGAATGACAACTTTCTGCCAAGTCGATCTTTAAGGAAGTCCACATTTCCTATGGGCTTCAGATTAAATTTAACCTCTTAATATCCACCTTATTTTGGGAAATACCTATTTTGCATACCCAAATGGAAAAGCAAATAACTGAGGAACTGTAAGCCCAAATTACATGTGTGATACGTTATTTGAAAGCTAACACCCTCTAGTTTATGAATATATACATGAAAATTGGATGAGTAAAACACCCAAGCTGCATCAGTCAAACAAGAGTCAAAGTTTTTTTTTTATCTCGAAAATAATAAGTCTTTTTTGAACAGCAGTGATAAAGACATGCTTGCTTGTTGTGGCTGCTTTGTCATGCTACATTTTGACATGCAGCTATATCTGTGTTAATTGTGCTTTGCTGCTTGCTAAGTCCATAAAATTAACTAGGTGGTTGATTTGTGGAGAATCTATATGTCTATATTGGCAAACATTTTACCAGTGTAATTTAATGTAACATCACATTATAATGCTTTTGACTATGCAGTAATAAAGGCAGTGGGGGATCTTCTCTGGGCCTTTTTGTGTGCAGTTTGCATCTTCTCCCTCTGCATGTTTGAGCCCTCTCATGGTACTCCAGTTTCCTACTTCAGTCCCAAATTGCATGTTTATAAGTGAGTGTTTGTGTCTCATTGGCTATTATCTTCACAAGGTTTTGCATTTATAAAAAAAAAACATGGTAGATAGCTGCTGAGGAGGTAATGCACTCCTATGATTTAGATGTACAGCAGCAGAGACACATTTACAACATGCATGAGAGTGGGTCGTGGTACCGGTGTTGCAGACCTTTCCTCTAAAGTTTGTACATGCTGTAGAGAATCAATCATACTTGAAGAAGCTTTGTTGATGTTTGCCAAACGTTTCACTGACTAAATAGTGTCATACACTCCTTTTAATAGCAGAATTGAGGGGCAGCTTATTTCCAAACCCATTTTACTCTAATAAATTTAGACTCTGTTACTAAAGGCTTAAATGTGACTGCATGCTGCTAAATCCTGGCATCTTTCTAAGCCATTTTAATAATCCTTTTTTTTTTCTTTTATGTAAGCCTACAAATTACAAGGCTGTCTTTTACACATGGACAATTTTAACTAACCTCAGCAGGGTTCTCTCTGTATAATCCTTCTCATAACATTTAAATCCCTTTTCCCCATCAAGTTCTGCTCAACACACCCACCTGATTTGAGGACAGCGGCGAGGCGAAGTAATGGCTGTGCAGGTTCCGGCCTGTGTTGACATGAGTCAGGCGGATTGTCTGCCCACACTTTACAGGTGTACCCCGGGTGCACGAAGCTTCGCTCGTCCCGCGGATGCTCCAATAGCTGTTACTGTCCTCCATCGCAGAGACGCCTGTTACAGACTGCTGACCGCTCCCTGTCACACAATAAGGGAGTTTGTTATCTCTGTTACTGGTACTTTGTTTCAGTTTGAGGTGTTTCAAGATTTACTGAGAGCTACAGAACAATTAGTTAAACCTTTTGTCTACTTAAAAAACAAAATTCTGTATTTTATTGGGATTTGCGTGACTGACCAACACAGAGTTGTGCAGGACACTGTTTTCAAAGTAGCCCTCTTTTGCTTTCATTACTGCTTAACACACGCTTGACATTCTCTTGATGAGCTTCAAGAGGCAGTCACTTGAAATGGTCTTCTAATAGTCTTGAAGGAGTTCCCAGAGATGCTTAGTATTTGATGGACCTTTTGCCTTCACTCTGCGGTCCAGCTCACCCCAAACCATCTCAATTGGGTACAGGTCCGGTGATTGTGGAGGCCAGATCATCTGGTGCAGCCCCCTATCACTCTCCTTCTTGGTCAAATAGCCCTTACACAGCCTGGAGGTGTGTAAGGGCTGAGGTTTGAGGTCATTGTCCTGTTGGAAAATAAATGATTTTCCAACTAAGCGCAAACCGGATGGAACAGCATGCTGCTACAAGATGCTTTGCTACCCATGCTGGTTCAGTATGCCTTTAATTTTGAATAAATCCCCGAGAGTGTCACCAGCAAATCACCCCCACACCATCACACCTCCTCCTCCATGCTTCACGGTGGGAACCAGGCACGTAGAGTCCATCCGTTCACCTTTTCTGCGTCGCACAAAGACACGATTGTTGGAAAAAGATCTCAAATTTGGACTCATCAGACCAAAGCCGGTCTAATGTCCATTAATTTGGCTTGGGCTCTTTGGGCTATTTAGGCAAAGCAAGTCTCTTCAAGTACATAATTCCACATGTGTTAATTCATAGTTTTGATGCCTTCAGTGTGAATCTACAATTTTTATAGACATGAAAATAACAAAAACTCTTTGAATGTATATATATATATATATATATATACATATATATATACATATATATATATATATATACACACATATGTATGTATATATATATATATATATATACATATATATACATACATGTATATACATACATATATATACATACATACATACATACATATATATATATACATACATA